GGAGAGACGGAGGAGGAGGGAGGGAGGGAGGGGGGGGGGGGGGGGGGCGGTGGTGGTTGGTGGTGGAGGAGGTGTGGTGGAGGAGGAAGTGGTGGAGGAGGACAAACCTGAACGAGTAGTACTTGTCAGTCTTGTGGTATGCAATCACGGCTCCTGATAGAGGCAGCACGAACACTTTCTTCAGATCTTCTCCAGAGTTTAGTAGCGGGTTTGCATCTTCGCGCTTCTCGTCTGTTCAGGATGTAAACAGGAGGCGCAGGAGCAGGAGCAGGAGCAGGAGCAGGAGCAGGAGCAGGAGCAGGAGCAGGAGCAGGAGAAGAGAGCAGGAAGAAAAACTAACAGCAGACGAGGAATGTGTCTTCGATCACAAACCACTTGCGTGCCCACATTGGCTTCTGCCTTGCTTGCTTGCTTTTGTAGAAGAGCCAACCGCCAGTCAAGCTGCCAGGGCTTTGAGGAGCAGAACGGAGGAGGAAGCCCGGGGAGACAAAGAGGAGGGGGAAATGAACGAGAGAGGGGGAAGAGGGAAGGGGAAGAGGAAGAAAAGGAGAGGAAGAGGGAGAGGAAGACAAGGAGAGGAAGAGGGAGAGGAAGGAAACTTACGGGCTGCAGTACTCGGCAAGCTTCGAGACTGTGGTAGCAAAGTAGAGAGCATCATACCACTCCTTGAACTCAGTGTTGTTCTCGCAGTTGAGGTAGATCTGCTCCATTCTCCTTCACCTCCCCTCACAGGTAGTGGCTCCTTCTACCTTGCCGTCTTTCTCTGTCTGCACGAGGATGCAACAATTCTTCTTCAACTTCCACGAGACATCTTCCACACTCCCTCCCAGCAGAGACACCTGCCGAGCGCTCAGAGCAAGCACGGAGGCTGAGCGTCAGCGAACATCTTGCTGGGGGATGTTGTTGGTGTGCGATACAAACATGAAGAGCGCATCCTCCAGGAGGCGGAAATACTTCCGTTCCCAACCGATCACAGTCTTCCTCTGCAAGGGGTCAGGACGGGAGCATCTTAGCGGTTCTTCACCTTGAGGTATCCATGCTTCAACAGGACAGGATTGCCGTTGGCATTCATATCCCTCCCTGCAATAACATGCGATCATCGCACTAGTTAGCTTCCATTCCTCCTCTGCCTTGACCCGTCCAGCTACAATCACTCGGATACAATCACTCGGATACAATCATTCCCTTGAACCTGATTGCTGGTCGCCTGTCCTGTTCTTTTTCCTCCCTTCCTGCTCACTTCTTCGTGAAAGTCCTTCTGCTCTGCTCTGCTCTGCTCTGCTCTGCTCTGCTCTGCTCTGCTCTGCTCTGCTCTGCTCTGCTCTGCTCTGCTCTGCTCTCTGCTCTGCTCTGCTCTGCTCTGCTCTGCTCTGCTCTGCTCTGCTCTGCTCTCTCCGTGCTAGCATGAACCTACTGTGCTTGTCCCTTCCAGTAACAGTTTTAGTCAATTCGATCAGTTTTAACTCAATTCAGCCGGAGGGCCCCGGGGCTAGGGAGTAGCAAAATGGCGGGAGAGGGTGCGGTGCGAAGCAGGATGCGAGGCGAGGGGCAGGAGCGAGAAGGATGGGAAGGAGAAGACAAGGAGATAAAGAGGAGAGACTATGGTGATGATGATGATGATGAGGAGGAGGAGGAGGAAGAGGAAGAGGGCGTCAGACTCAAACGTGCTAAGCTACATCATGACGACGACGAAGACGAAGAAGGGATCGCTCTAGATGCTGAAACAGCAGCAGACTATGCGAAGATTCCCGAGCTTGACTCTTATGATCGTGACATGATCGACAACAATCGCAAGCACAAGCTCAGTTTCAGCGATCGAAGGGCTGCCGAAGAAGCAATGCAGGAGCGGGACGAGAGGGAGCGTCACATGAAGGGTCAGCGAGAATTGTCTGCGCGACGAGGGCCTGTTGCCATGGCTCAACTCAGTGCGAGCAGACAAGGTTTTGCTGAGCTGGAGAGGATCTGCGGCAAGACGAGCATGGACGAGGCTGTATGTGACAAGGCTCGCGAACTGCTGCGAAAGTCTTTCATCGGGCTCAAGGCGAATACGGGGAGCTTGAGGGGGAGCACGACTACTCAGACGTGCATCCCCTCGGTCTGCGTCGAGATCGCAGCTCGTCTGCTCAAACGTCCTGTGAAGCGGCAGGTGCTGGTTAAGAGCTCAGGATGCAAGGAGTCAGAGTACGTGGCGGCTCTCACCTTCACCCACTGCATGCTGGGCATACGACGCGACGTGACCATCTCGGAATTGTGAGGAGGAGGAGGAGGAAGAGGAAGAGGAGGAGGAGGGAGGAGGGAGGAGGAGGAGGAGGAGGGAGGAGGAGGAGGAGGGGGAGGAGGAGGGGGAGGAGGAGGAGGAGGAGCGTGAGATTGAGAGGGTTGCAGGTGCGATGAATTCAGCTGCAAGGCCATCCGAGGATCAGCGAGACAGACTCTCGAAGTTTTCAAGAGACAGTGAGTGAAGCATACCCTCCTCCCTCCTGTTGACGTTCCTTCCTCCGCAGGTTCTGGAGCTCCTTGCCGCAGGAAAAGCGCGAGGACGCTGACTTCGGGCGGCCTGTCTTCCCTCTCGCAGCCTTGTTTGTAACGGCTGAGAAGAACAAGCAGCTCGTGAAAGTTCCGGACAAGTTCGGGGGAGGAGGAGGAGGAGGAGGATCATTGACTAGAGTACGCAGGAAGGAGCTTTTAAGGGCGGGAGGAGGCGTTTCTGTGAGCTTGACAGTAAGATCAATCGATTTGATGATAACTGATGTGCTAGGATGAAGAATTTCGAAGAGTTTGCAACCTCATGAGGGAGATGTGCTCCACACCGGCCATGCTCGGGTAAGGACAACTCCCTGCCTGCCTGCCTGCCTGCCTGCCTGCCTGCCTGCCTGCCTGCCTGCCTGCCTGCCTGCCTGCCTGGTTGCCTGCCTCGCTCCCTCGCTCTCTTCTCCTCTCACCTTCATTCACCCTTCTTGTGAGTTCCATTCATTTTTCTTTCACAGTTGCGAGCCCTCTGAGGAGGAGAAGAGAGTGTTGGGCTCGGCGAGGGATGGAGGTGGTACTGACGTTGCTGCTTCCCCTCCCTCACTTGCTGCTCCCAGCCCCTCTTCACGGCGCAAGGGACACGCAATCAGCAGCTGCAAGCGTGATCGATCCTCCTCCTTGTAGCAAGCAGCCAATCCTTGAGCAGCACGAGGCTGCTACATCAGCACCTGCTCCTGCTCCTGCTCCTGCAGGTGCTGCAGCTCCTGCTTCTGCTGCAGCATCAGCATCAGCTCCTGCTCATGCTCCTGCTGCTACTCCGGCTCCTGCTGAGGATCCTGCATATGCTGAGGCTCCTTCTGCTCCTGCTCCTGCTCTCACCTCTACCCCTGCCTCTGCAGCTGTTCCTACGTCCCTTCCTGCTCCTTCTGCTGAATCGCACGACACTTGCTTCAAGTCACCAGAACCCAAACTACAAGACAAGCAGAGGTAGACCCTCCTCTCCTCCTTCCTCCCTTGACTTCTGCTCAGCTTCAGCAGCTGCGAGACCGTGAAGAAACATTCCTCCGTCACCGCCTCCTCCCTGAACGACCGACGGAAGCTGCCGAGCGCATCGCAAAGGCTGTCAAGCATGATCGCGATGGGGAGGCTGCAGGCGACTCCTAAGATGCCGGACAAGGTCCAGGCAGGGGAGAAGGAGCAAGTGCAGCCGCAGGGAGGGAAAGAGCAGCAGCAGGTGGTGACTTTTCAAAGTGACGGAAAGCCTCGAGTGGGGAAGGGGCACATGAAGCGGATGAAGGAAGAGGAGCAGGAGGAGGCGAAGAAGCAGCGACGATCGCAGTACGAGGAGTGGAAGCGACAAGTCCTCGGGGGCTCCAAGGAGAAAGAGCATGTCAAGGTCTCCCATCGCATCCCTCGGTCTTCGTCTCGCTGATTTGCCGCCTTGTGATCAGGAAGGGGAAGGTGAGGGCGCGAGGGGAGACGGGAAGCAGCTGAGCATCACGCATCTCCTTACTCCCCTCGATCGACGTCAGCTTCTTGCTCGAGCTGCCGAAGGGCGAAGAGAGCAGGGAGCGAGGGAGGAAGGGGAGGACGGGGAGAGTCTGTAGATCTTGACTGATAGTGTCAGAGGTGGGAAGGATGATCAGAATAAGGAGACGTTCATTGAGAGAGGGTCTGCGCGCAGCCCTCGGGAATCTCAACAAGGTTCTTCATCTTCCAGTCCTGCATGCCAAGTCATGGCCTCTCCCTCCCTGCATCCTCCTCTCTCTTTCCCCACACATCCCTCCTCCTCCTCCTCCTCCTCCTCCTCCTCCTCCACCACCACCACCATCATCGTCGCCGCCGACGATCGTGAGGTGGAGGAATAGATGATCATCATAATGATCCTCGTTGCTGCTGGTGCTACATCAGCATCAGTATTATTATTATCCGCCGAACAATTACTCCGACGAAGAAGGAGGTGTTGCTGTACGATCATACCGTCGGGATGAGTGGATTTCTTCATCTACTGCTACCACCAGCAGCAGCGACGACTGCCTCATCTTCATCATCATCATCTTCTTCTCGCCGAGAGGATGTGACTACAACTCCTACTACTACTACATCTTC